TATTCATGACGTTGTGCTTAATTAAGTATAAAGCCGCCTCCGTAGTCTAGGGGTAACGTTCCCACCTCATGACTCAAGGTACGCGGGTTCAAACCCGGCGGAGGTCGTGGTATTTTTAAGGGCGGAAAAATTCAGGGAACATGTTCTCCGGGAGGGACTTCAAGCCGTGGGTCCCGTGTCGTAGATTTACGGCACGTAAAAGATCCTCATGTCTCTAGGACCTCGTTGGCTGCACGGGGCTGATAGCACGCACCAGTGCCAGTAGGGTATGGTGAGAGTAGAAATTAAAAGGGGACGCACAATGGACCAATATTTGGTCTAAGTGCATGGGGAAACCCACCACCTCTAATAATAATAATAATAATAATAATAATAATAATAATTAAGTCACCACCATGAGGTGGCTTNTACCAACACCAATCTCTACCTTCCAGTTTCACAATTTTCCCACCCTTGTCCGAAGTCTGTAAACCGCCTCTCGAAGGCTCCTTAAAAGCTGAGGGACATTCTACAGGACTTGATCCTTGTGGTAAATCACGTGACCTGAAATCTCGGCTGGGGTTGTAGATAATCTTGATTGATTTTTTGGGATGTTTTTCCATATACTTTCCAACTGGCGTATCATCAACCATCCTACATGACCCAGTTGCTGACAGTGTCATAAATCGCCCACAAAAAGCCACTTCCCGGCGATTCCTTTAGCTGGAAGCTTGAAGCACGTTTCCGTTAGTATATTCCGAAAGGTTCTGACAATGGTGTATAGAGTTACTGGGTTTTCGGACTTTGTCCATGGTCCGAAACTGGATCAGTGATTGAGGTTAACCTTTTATAAGGAACCCAACAGAGTATGTGTCTCCCCCTCACCTGAGGACGGAAATAGATCCAGCTTCCGAAACGTCGTGTTCTCTAGAATGCCGCATGATGAACAAATTCCGGAAACCCAGTAAGTCTGAACGTCAGCTTATTTACGGAACCAAGCCTTCTTGCTCTCTAACCAACCAAGTGTCGAGTCAGACACGAAGCCCCCGACCTAAACACCGAGGTTATGATAATGTGCTGCCTGACAGGGCTATGGCACAATTCATGGGGCGGTGATAGATAGGTAGGGAGTAATAGTGGAATAATCATTAGCTGGGCAAAAACGAAGGAAGTTTGAGATAAGATATCTTACTCTGCAACCAAACAAAGTCCACACAAGAGACTAAACGCCATTACATTATTACACCCCTGCTTTAAGGGAGGTAAAAGGTAAAGGTAAGGTTGTCCCTGTGTTTAACTAATTAAGCACTGCCCCATGAAGGCGTATGGGGAAGTGGATGTATAGATCGACATTTTCTTGACCTCGGTACTAGCTCGAGGTGAGTGGTCAGCTTCACGTCCCGGACGATTCACTCCCGGAGAAAGAGCCCCCGGTACCCATTGGATAGGAGGGTGGGTGGACCACAGAGTCGATCTGGACGACTCGGAGAAGAGAAAATTCTGACCCTAACGGGACTCGAACTCTGACCTCTCGGTCGTCCAGCCTGTATGCAGTCGCTATACCGACTGAGCTATCCAGGCTCAAGCTTTAAGACAATATGCTGCGTGACCAGAATAGCAAATGTCTCAGGAAGCGACGATAGATGACTAAAGCGAAATCGAATGATAATCTAAGAACCAAGCCCAGAGCCGCTGAGTTTACAATGAAAATTACGTGAATTCACTCGGGATTGAACCCGGCTCTCTAACACAAGGATCTGAGCAAAGCATGGGCTCTGGTTCGCTTAATAAATTCAGATGTTACTTTGTACCCGTGACAGAAGAGTGTGATACAGAACGGACTTGATGACGTACTTGCACATGCGCAGTCGTTTCAGACTCAATGGACGATTTATTTGAAGAGTACTGAATTCTTGGATGAGACATGGTACAGTCTTTCAGAAATTTACAGACGTTTCGGAGGAACTTAATGCTTCCGTCTTTATATTTCAAGAGTAATTCAAGCAGAGTAAGCCCAGAAATTGCATTAAAATTATTTACAAATAAGTTTTTGGCAACTGTAGTCCTTGAATGTCCTGCAGGACCATCACGTATTAAGTACTTACAGTCAACATTGAACCGTAAGGGATTATTATTTACCTGTCTCCATGGAGCAAATTCCTATGCACGAAATGTGGACATAAAATTCTCCTGCCATGTACTTTATCAACGCCCAACTGGGCACAGAAAACAGATCTTCAACTCTGCCCTGTTAAGCCCATACATATCGTCGGGG